TTTTTGAAAGAAGAGGTTTTCTATTTGCATCTTCCAGAAACCAAAGTTTGTGCCATCGAACTTCTCGATCATAAATGTGGATGTCTTTTCTTCTGATGCTATTACTCCCACTTGAACGAACAGATCTGATCGAAAGACTTTCGGAATTTCGTCAAACACCTTCTGTGCCCTAGGTTCTCAACCAAAGGCTCTGATACCAGTTGTTGAGAGTTGCTCTGTACAATCAACCGGATTTGATACCAGTTGTTGTGGCGGAAACGCAACAACACTGTTCAAGGAATAAACAAGCAATCATGAAGAATAGAAAAAATCAAACCTAAGAACACAATATATACATAGTTCACCCAAATCTTAATGCTACGTCCATGGAGCATACCGAACAAATTCACTATAAATTAGTGAATAATTACAATGGAGAATTCTCTCTCAATTGCTCTTTCTTTTATTAACACAAATTTATCTTTAACTCTCACACTCTATAAAATCTGATTTGAGTTGATATTTATAGAGTCTCAAACTTGTCCTACAAGAACTTGCCTTTTGTAAAATCCAAAACCAATAAAGAAGTTAAATTAGATCAGGAAACTGAATTTTCCTTAAATCAATAAGGAAGTTAAAGCAGATCAGGAAACTGAATTTTCCCTGAACCAATAAGGAAGTTAAACCAGATCAGAAAACTGAATTTTTCTTAAAATTCAGAACTCTTGAAGTTTTCATGTAATTAAATCTTCCTAAAAAATAATTACCTAACTGTAATACCCTGATATTTTAAAGGATTTATAAATTAGGATTAATTACTTTTATTTTATTTTAAAATAATTTTTTTTATTTAATTGAGTGCTAGATTAATTGTCTTATTTTAATTAAGTTATATTTCGTGATTATGTATGATGATTCATTGTTTGTGTACTTAATTATTGATTGAATTGTTGGCGTGTTGATTTTATTGGTATGGTGTGACTTAGTTGTAAATTCTTGTTTGTTTATGAACTTCATGTAATTAGTTATTTTAATTTAAGTATTTATTTAATTATTTTATTTATTTAAATTAATTGAATTTGGACTTAAGGGAAGTTGGACCAAATGATGTGGTCTTGAGCTTGGATAAAGCCTTGTTGAGTTAATTAATAATGACCCATGTTTTTAAAGATATTTAAATAATTATCTTTGCACACATACACACACACACACATACACACACATATATATAATTATATGTATATAAGTATAATTAATAAATAATTATTATGGAAGTATATACATATATATATTGATATCTATAGATATATATAATTTAATTAACTAACAATTAATTATGAAAGGTATATATATATATATATATATATATATATATATATATATATATATATATATATTATTTAAAGATTTATTATTATTATTTCCTAGTTATACTAGGAATATGATTAGGGTAATGTGTATAAATATACACATAAGGTTTTGTTGTCAAAAGTTTACGCGTTAGAAAAATAAGAAAGGCAAAGAGAGAGAAGAGGAGATGGCTGACAAAGAGGAGGCTGGATCTGATAAAAAGGACATCGAAATTGGAAAAGACAATCAAAACTTGAAGCGTCGATTTCGTTTCAAAACCTTCAGGCGAATTCTTCTCTAACTTTCCTCTTTGGACTCATAAGTATTTCACCTTGAGTATCAATATTTAAATTTAAATTTATTTGTTAAAAAATCATGGTTAGATCAGAATAATTAAAAGCATAAATTATTATATTTATTCTTTTGGAATTTTGGATTTTAAATTGATATATGTATAGGTGTTGTATATATATTTTAAAATCAATTTAGAGGCTGATCTTGGACCTAATAGGGTTTCTAGAGTTTCTAAATTTTTGGGAATTTTTGGGAATTTTCTATATTTTTCTAGATTTATTTTATATTTTTCTAAAATTATTAGAATTATTTTGGGGCTTAAATTATAACTTTTATATACTGGAGCCTGATTAGTAAATCGGCGTATGCATAACGGAAGGGGTTACTGTGCGGCGCGGCTTACAAAGCTACGTTGCGCCTAAATCAAGACCATCTAATGGTCTTGATGGGCAATGGAACCATCCAGTGTGGGCGTGTGTGCATGGGAGGGATGCACACGCTGATCTGGACTATTGGGTGGAGTGGATGGATGGTGGATGGATCCAATGCATTGCGGCGCATAGAGGTCTCGTGCGCGCATGTCTCTGGGCCATAAATGTGGTCCAGTCAACAAAAAAGTAATCCCGTGTGATGCGGCTTACCCGAACGCATAGTCCCAGCCAACCAGAGGAAGCCACATCAGCTAGAAAGAAGTACCAGGCGCGTGGCAGCACATAAAGGCGCATGAGACCACCTATCAGCTTGTAGAAATGCGTGCAATGGAACCAGATGCGTGTGGCAGCGCGTGGAGGTGCGTGAGGCACTGTTTGGGGTCCTGAAAAGTTGTTGTGGAGTCCGGTAATGTCCCAAAATTAATTTCAAGCTTGATTGTGTTGGAATCAATCATTAGAGGATGTATTTTAGGTGTTTGAGGGCGGTTGGACGTTACTACATTATTTTAGTAGCGTTTTCTGACGCAATTACAAATTTAAATTGCGTAGAGGGGATTACATTACTTTGGATTAATAAAGGTAATGGTTAAACTTACTTTATGGTATATGGAGTTAATTAATATGTTTTAAATCAATTAATAAGTTATGGTTGTGTGGTAAGTTATGTCTTATATGTGGTATTGCCTATCAAATTATAATAGGCTGGTCGTTTAAATAAATGATATGTTTATAATATGCATGAGATTGGTTTTGTATGATTTAGTTTATTATTAAGTTTAAAGTTGGTACATGGTTGAATTGTAGGCATGGATGAGTTGTTAAAGGTTTAAATAAATTGCTTAATTATTTGTATAAATAAAATACATACATAGGAAGTATGGATGTGTTGCTAGTTTAAAAGTATAAATATATATATACTTGTGGAGGTATGTTTTAATTGCCAATGTATAAATAAATATATTTGTGGAGGCATAGTTGAATTGCCAATGTATAAATAAATATACTTAAAGGAGGCATGGTTGAATTACTAGTATATAAATAAATATATTTATAAAGGCATGGTTGAATTGACAATGCGTAATTAAATTGTTGTGTGTTAAATGATTGAAATTTTATCTATGGTTATTGTATGTATAGGTTAGATTAGGATTACATATTCTTAAATTAGAATAATCTAGTAATTACAGATTAATGTATTATTTTATGTAAATTAATAAAATAATATTGGTGGAGACATGGATGATTTGTCAAAGCCTAGATATTGGCTGTGTGATTTAAATAATTAAATCAGTATTGGGTTTTGGATTAAATATAAGATTCATTTAATTATATTATATTGTTTAAATGACTAAATAATTGTCTAGTTTGAGATTAAGATTAAAGGAGGTTCTTTTTAAAAGAAATAGTGGATTGGTCTAGGAATGATTAATATTTAATCATTATTTATGGTTTTTGAAAATTTAATGAACCTATTAATGGGTGTGATTAGTGTATTATATATATATATCTGTATCATTATATATTAAAGATAAAAACTTTATTAGGTTTGGTTTTGATTAGAGATGATCTGCTTATTGGTTTTCAGAGGCCTGGTAGAGAGAAGTTGCTCGTGGATTTGACCAACTTATTTTTATCTTTCAGGTTACTAGAGGTTCAAGTCTTAAGATTGAGAATCCGCAGTTGGAGAACTTATGCATTCTTTCGGTTTAGTTAAAAGTAGGATATTATTACTTCATTTGATGTTAGTATTTAATTATGGATTCTGGATAGTGACTTTTAGTTAAGGGATCCTTGATTTACGGGATTCCCGAATTGTAATTATTGGAGAATTATTAATAGATTTGTTATTTATTAGTTTTTCTTCAGCGTATTATTTATTATTTATTTCATTTTGATATATATGCTTGTTTAAATATTTTAATTGTTTTGATATCCTTTAGTTTTGTGCGCAGACTTGATCAACCTGTATTCCAAAATTAGGAAATATCACACTAATCAGACTCCACAAAATCACAACAATAATGACAAACGAATGTTGAGATAATGATGTGGCTAGTTTGTAAAATAATAGTTGCATTTGTATATATATAGAGATTATGAAGTCCACCATCTGCCACCAAATTAACTAGTAAATTATTATATGGAATTTTGACAACTCATTTTGGGGTTTTTTTTTTTTTAGCATGAAAATGATATCACATATCATTTCAAAGGCACAAAGGCCAAGCCAATGGCAGTACAGAGACAAAAAGCTAAGTCAGAAAAGACATACAAATCATGAAGTAAAGTAATACAGAGACAAAAAGACATACAAATCATGAAGCAAAGTAATAAAGTAAAGAACATGCTCCAGATCTGTGTACAAATCATGAAGCAAATAAATAAAATGAAGAACATGCTCCAGATCTGTGAAGAAAATAGAGTCTAAAACTCTGCAATGGAACCACCATAGAAGAAAACATCTTACTTAGACTGTTCATATAAAGTTTAAAAAACAAAAATTGGTTAGAGCATGATTTACTTTGCTCTGATCAATAAATAACTATTAGATCCATAAAATACCACCATGTTCTTGCATTTTTTTTTAAGAAAAAGTTTAGTGGTTGTGTTTTGCCCTTTTATGGCTTAGCTCTATTGCATCTATATTGTCTTTTATAAATGTGTTGTGTAGATGTCGTATGGCTGTTTTCTTATTGCCAGGGTAAAAAAAAATTAAATAAATAAAAAATAAATAATTATTAGGTGGATGATTGAAATCATTCACATGGCCAAAAAGAAGACCTTATTGTTGGATTTTTGTTAATATAAATAAAAAAAATGCTTGGAGTTCATTTTTTTTGGAATTTAAAAACAGTACATTACAGTTATCTTAATAGCTAAATTATCTTGCATGTGTGTCAGCATGTGAGAGAGAATATTTATCTTTATTTTTTATTTTTTTGGCGTTGAGAGAAAAGTAGAAAAATTACAGACCATGCACCAGGATTTTTTACTATAAACTCTGGTGTTATAATGATTTTCACTCACCCTCTCTCTCTCTTAAACCAAATTCTTTGATTTTACCCTATAAAAGAATAGTTAAGCTCTCCATCGAGTCCAACGGTAATTTGAAAAATGAGCCTTCCCGCCTCCACAGCCACAACCATCCAACAACTCTCTACATTATCATCCCTTCACACACAATATCCCAACTCAACCCAACCCACCTTCCCTGACTCTAATCACAACCTATTCCTCAACAGGAACACTACAAAACACCATGTTAGCTTGAGACAAACCGACAACAAAACCCCCATTGACCCCACAGTCTCATGGACCTCTTCCATAGCTCGCCACTGCCGCAATGGCCGACTCGTCGAAGCAGCTAGAGAGTTTTCCCGCATGAGATTAGCCGGTGTCGAACCCAACCACATCACTTTCGTAACTCTTCTGGTAGCTTGTGCTGATTTTCCTTCAAAGACTCTGTCTTTTGGGGCGTCTGTACATGCCTGTGTTCGTAAGCTGGGTTTGGATACGAGTAATGTAATGGTGGGTACGGCCCTTGTCGGTATGTACTCCAAATGTGGTCAAGTAGATCTCGCAAGATTGATTTTTGAGGAGATCTCTGTGAAAAATAAGGTGTCTTGGAATACTATGATTGATGGGTACATGAGGAATGGCGAAGTTGAGGTTGCAATCGAGCTGTTTGATAAAATGCCGGAGAGAGACGTGGTTTCTTGGACGGCTTTGATTGGTGGGTTCGTTAGGAGAGGCGAGTTTGAGCATGCTTTGGATTCGTTTCAAGAAATGCAGCTCTCTGGGGTGAAGCCTGATTACGTGACCATCGTTTCTGTACTCTCAGCGTGTGCCAATTTGGGAACACTTGGCTTAGGCTTATGGATAAACCGGTTTGTGATGAAGCAAGATTTTCGAGACAATGTTCGAATAAATAATTCATTCATAGACATGTATTCTCGATGTGGATGCATTGAATTTGCCCGTCAAATTTTTCAAAAAATGCCTAAAAGGACCTTAGTCTCATGGAACTCAATCATTGTGGGCTTTGCAATTAATGGCCATGTGGAGGAGGCTCTTGAATTCTTCAACTTGATGCAAAATGAAGGGTTTGAGCCAGATGGGGTGAGTTTTACAGGAGCTCTCACTGCGTGTAGCCATGCTGGTTTAGTTGATGAGGGACTGAAGTTCTTCGATCTCATGAAAAGAGTCCATAAAATCTCCCCACGAATTGAGCATTATGGATGCATAGTGGATCTTTATAGCCGAGCAGGGAGATTAGAAGAGGCCTTGAATGTAATAGAAAACATGCCCATGAAGCCAAATGAAGTTGTGTTGGGGTCATTGTTGGCTGCGTGTAGGAATCAAGGGGATGTGGCCTTAGCTGAGAGGTTAATGAATTATCTTGCAGAGTTGGATCCTGGTGGAGATTCTAACTATGTGCTCCTTTCAAATATATATGCTGCTATTGGAAGTTGGCACAACGCAAGCAATGTGAGGAAGAAAATGAAGGCTCTCAGGATACAGAAGAAACCAGGAGTCAGTTCAATTGAAGTTGATTGTATCATTCATGAATTTGTTGCTGGTGATAAATCCCATTTGGACGCAGAATATATTTATGCAACGTTAGACCATCTGTCACTTGATCTGAGAATGTCCGGGTATGTTCCTGAAACAAATGTAAAGGAATCTTCTGAATATCACTGAAACTATTTGAGTTCAAATATTTGTGAACAATAGCACTTTGAATGCATTAGTCAATGTGAAAATTCAATTTGTTGTACAGGATGAAAAATGTCTAGTTTAAACATTCTTGAGATTATGCTAAGTCAATAAATTATGTAAAGAGAGATTTGTTGGGTACTTGAAATTTGGTTAGAAAAATGAAATTATGTCAATTTTACCTCTTCTAGAAAGAGCTGCGAACTCTCCAGCTTATATGGCAAAAGTGTCTCATTTGTTCATATTTGAGAACAACAAATACAGCTACCAAATTATGTAAAGACTAAAGAGGACTGAGGCCGTTCAACCCTTAGTAGCTAGTATATGTGGGCTTTCCCCTCTTCAGTCCTGCTAACCTTGGAAATAGATTAATGATTGTTATACAAGCCAATATCTTCAATAATTGAAACATTATAAGAATTAGCCTCCTTTACCTTCTGTGACCTGATTGTTGCAATCAGAGTATACATGAATTCTGTGAATTCCAGTGGCTGTCCCCCATTCCATGGTCTTCTTTTCGTTGTTAAAGACTGAGACAAGTGTGAACTAAACATGCCATTGCACATACTTAAACATTCTAAGACTCTAATCTGTACCGATAAGAGAAGGTTAGAGATCAAAATCAGGTAGGAAACAGAACTCTGTTAACGCCAAGCTGTTTAGCTAAATAGTATTGGATCAGTTCCAAAACACATAGCAGTTGAACTTGGACCAGTCCACCATGTCCTTGATCGGTCTATTGGTTGGATAGACACTCCACCTATCTTTCTACATGTTTCCTAACCAATTACCAAACATGTTCGCCCAATCAGATGTTAATTTAGGCCATTGGTCCAATATTTTTCATATAAATTCTAAGACCTCCAAGTCACTTATCATCCCTAAGGTGTGCGATCAAATTAGTTAAATATGATAGCGAGACCGGATAAAACTTGTATAGTTGTATCCTAAACCATGAAACCCACCGGTCTGATTATGTTGCTAGTTTGCTACGGAAAAAATGTCTGGGGTCCAACTTGTGTGTACCAACATGAATCCAACCTGCGTTCAATGAATGGCATCATGATAGTTGAAGGTTTCTTCCACATTTGGTATATGAGACAGTTTTCGTATTTTCCACTTGGATTGAGGGTGACATTTTTGTTTGTTTTGGAATATATCCCTTCTTTTAATCGAAAGAAAAAACTTGGAGGAAATTAAAGAAAAAGAAAGACAGCTTGTTCTCTGATAAAATAAGATTGCCATCAACTAATTTCTTCTTATTTTGGGATTAAAGCGAAAGAGAGGCTAGTTGGTGTACCTTTTTAGAACATTTTCACCTCAATACATGAAATTTAAGTAGAAGGTGGCATTGAAATTCTACAAAGAAAACAAGAAAAGGCATCATTATTTAGCAGTCATAGACCCTTTGATCTATGAATTAGGATCCTCTCCGACAGGATAGAATCCAGGTTTCCATATATATATATATGATATTGCTGAAGCATTGAACGACTTTTTGAGCTTAAGTAGTAATGCACGCAGTGGGAGCTAGCCGTGGTGTGACCATAGCAGAAAGTGACACAGCCTTTTGCAAGGCAAGTCCAAAAGCCTCATCCATGTTCAGCTCATCAGTTCCATCAACCAATTTCCAATCAAACGAGTGCACCAAGGTCCCTAAAATGTACTCCACTAGCACAATTCCCATCCTAGTCCCAGCACAAATCCTCCTTCCTGCACTAAATGGAATCAGGTTGAAGTCATTCCCACGCGGATCAATATTCCTCGCCAATTTTCCATCCAAAAACCTTTCCGGGATAAAATCTAATGGGTTCTCCCACACGTCGGGGTCTCGCCCGATGGCCCAAATGTTTACACTGAGTCTGGTGTTCTTTGGGATGTAGTAACCATTCACTTGGCAAGCATGGGTTGAGACTCGGGGAAGATTCAAGGGTGTGGGAGGGTGTTTTTGATACGTTTCTTTGCATATGGCTTGTAAGTAGGGGAGTTTGGGCAGGTCGGACTCCACCAGCCGGCGGTCACGGCCAATGACACGGTCCATCTCGTCGTGAGCACGCTTGAGGATGCTGGGGTTCTTCAACATCTCGGCCGGAGTCCATTCAATCACGCTTGAAGGTGCGTCTGTGCCTGCAGTGAACAAATTCTAGTGAAGGCAGTAAAATTAGTACTGTGTAAACTGACTTCAAACCTTGATGTTGCATTTGGAAGTGTCAAATCGGACCTTTGGAATTAGAGGCAGGGTTCAAACTTCAAACTTCAAATTTTAAAATAAAATGGCATCAATTAGGAGCCAAAACATAGTTGTGAAATCATAAGTATTTAAATGACTTCTATTCAATGGAGATTTTGTTAATATGGTATTGCTAATAATTAATTCTATCTTGACATGTTATACAGTATATCCAAAAAACGCACGATTATCATAAGCAGGGAAATAACTTCTATTCAATAGAGATTTTGTTGATATAATAATATTGCTAATTAATTAATTAAATTTTGACATGTTATACAGAATCTATCCAAATACACGAACCATTAGATGTAAACAAATACTATATCTTTAAAAATTCAATTAACTGGTTATACTACATCAACAAGATATCTAACATATTTTTTTTCTTAACTTTAAAATCGTTCTTCAATTGAATTAAAACATTTTTAAATGAAAAGAAAAATGATTGTTTCAGAATCATTGGTATCTTTTATGGACAAACTTCATCGAGAAAGTTTACACATAGATTGAAATACGATACATATATATATACACACGCACATATAATATGTTATCTATCTAACCAACAGGCTAGTGGTCTAACGGTACCAAACTCCTACTTCTCAAAGAGAGATTAGAGTTTCGAACCTCAGTTAAGGCATGTGTGTGTGAGTACCAATTAGAAAAAAATATATATATAATACTGCTATCTACAGTGGGAGAATAATGTTGTATGACTTACCTATAGTAGTCCCTTGATGTTAGTCATAGGAAGCTTGTCATCACTAGAACTTTGTTGATGAGCCATTACAACGTCAAGAAAATCTGGCTTCCCCTTCCGCCCGTAAGCAGAAGCCTTGTGCTCTTCAATCATTCTTGACAACAACTCATCAAACCTCTTACGCAATCTCTTCATCCCACGCTCGATTCCTTGCAGGTCCATCCATGCTATGGAAGGAATAAAATCACCAATATTGAAATACCCCGCCGTCGTCATCAGCTCCACTACCATGTCCTTACTCATTAGACTTTGAGCCCTTCGTTTCAAACACTCGCCGGCTCAGTATCACTTGCCCGATAATGTTTGCTATTGTGTAGCACGGCATGTCCGGCACCACCACCGGTTCACCATGGCTGCTCATATCGTGCATGGTACCAAGCATGTGCCCTAGCTCGATGGCTCGGACATTTGACCAATCTTCCAGAGCCTTGCCACTGAGCATGTGAAGGTTACTTAGTTTTCTAAGCAACTTCCAGCGCGGTCCATAATCCGCCAACACCATGTCCTCACTATTGTAGGCGAGGTGGGTTGCACCGGCGTTGGGGGGACGGTTTATGAAATTTAGGTCTAGGGTTTTCAGGAAGGCCTGAGCAGCCTCCGGAGTGGAGGCCACGACCATGCTACAAGTGCCCATTTTGAGGTACATGACGGATCCTTACTTCTTGGCCATTTTTGCTTGTGCAGCATGGGGCATGTTGCCTAGGTGGGGAAGGGCACCGATGATCAGAAACCCTCTTGGGCCGGGTGGGAGGTGGCGAGTGGGATTTGAGAGGAGGGAACGGATGGAGAAGTGTGTTGGCAGGAAGAGGAGAGTTGTTGCAGCGAGCTCGGGGAGGAGGACTGCGTCTAGGATCAGGGGCGGAGCCAGGAATTTGGTTCAGGGGCATGTTAACATTGACAAAATAATTTTTTTTCAAGCATGCCGAAAATATAATAATGTAACGATAGTGCATTAAAATAAGTGAATAAAAAATGAATAAGAAGATAAAAAAGAAAAAGAAGGGTTATTGCACATAAATTATACATGAGTGTAAGAAAAAATAAAATTTTAAGAAGAAAAATGAATTTTTTAAGAAGAAAATGAAATAGAAAGAAAAAAATATGAGAGAATTTTAAAGGGAAAAATATATTTTAATTATAGAAAGAGAATGCAAAAGTTTTTGAAGATGATAAAAAGAAATTTAAAAAATAAGAAGGAAAAGAAATAAAGAATTAAAGACGTTTTAGAAATAGATAATTTTATTGGGATAATTTATAAATTTTATGAAGGTATTTTATAAATATTTACAAATTATACACATAAAATAAAATAAAATAAAATTTAGTAGATTCAGAGACAAAAAGAATATTTTAATAATTTAAGGGGGGCATTTTATCAATTATTACAAATATATGTATAAAAAAAAAATTATAATAGGGCAGCATGGGCAGGGGGCGCTGCCCCCGGCACATGCTGCCTCCCCAAAAGGGTAAAATGTAAAAAATAATAATAATAAAATAAATAAAAAAACACTTCGACACTATCATCTCACTGTAATAAGAATGATACAGTAACATCATGCAAATCCTCTATTTTTTTCTTCTTCTTTTTTTCATAGCAAGAATGTTAGATTACAAATTAGTAAGTACTAATGCTCGAAATTGGACTCTCAACAATAAAAAACAACTGCTGAACTATAAAGACAACAATAAAAAACAACTGTTGAACTATAAAGACATTCGACTTAAATATATAAATATGTCTTCTATATTATTTTAAAAAAGATATGCAAATAAAAAATGCCAAAATTAGAGATTGTGTCGCTGGGCACTATGTTGTCTCTCATCCGCCTCAATGACCGAACTACATTAACTTCTTTAATTATTTATCCGTCTCAATTAATAATAAACAGAGGCTTTAATACTTTCATGTTTACTCTTGGAATGTGATCGGGCAATAATGTTGGTCCATACTATTCATTCTATTAGCAAGCTTCAGAAATTCATAATGTTTCCATCATTGAAATGTTTAAACTGAGAGAGAGGATTTTCTATTTTTATGTATTATTATATTTTTTTTACAACAATTTCAAGACGGACATTTTTTAAATAAATTAAAAAGTAAAGGGTCATTGTAAACGAAATCTATACTAGTTTAATTTAAACATTTAGTACTTGC